AGGTGTATGTGGCTGGCGCCTTAGCCGCTTGAGCCACAGGCGCCGAGCCACAAACACTATTTCTTTAAATACTTTTTTCTACTTCCCTATGCCTTCCTTCCGCAATTCCAATCACACTTATATTGTTCTATAGGTCTCGCAGAAACTGGTCATATTTTTTCTATCTTTTAAATTCTCTTTTCTTTGGAAAGGGACATTTCTATTTATGCTTCAAGTTCACTGATTATTTCTTCTATCTTTTCAATCTATATTTTAGTTCAACTAATACAATTTTTATTTTAGTTGCTGTATTTTTAAGCTCTAGAATTCCTACTTTAAAAAATTTCTAGTTCTCAGCTCAGTGCTCATAGCTTAGTGAGTAGGGCACCAGCCACATACACCAAGGCTACCAGGTTTGAGCCTGGCCCAGACCTGCTAAACAAGGACAACTGCAACCAAAAAAATAGTTGGGTGGCGTTGCCTGTGGCTCAAAGGAGTAGGACGCCAGCCCCATATACTGGAGGGCCAAAAACTGTAAAAAACAAAAAATAGTCTGTGTGTGGTGGATGCCTATAGTCCCTCCCCTACTAGGGAGGCTGAGGCTAGAGAATCGCTTAAGCCCAAGAGTTTGAGGTTGCTATGAGCTGTGACGCCAGGGCATTCTACTCAGGGCAACATAGTAAGACTGTCTCAAAAAAATAAATTAAAAATATAAAATAATAAATTTCTAGTTCTCAAATACAATTCTCTATTTCTTCATTATGATTTTATATTACTCTAATTTAAAAATAGATTTTTAAAAAGTTTCTTGAAAATGATAGCTGATTTGAAGCCTCTGCCTGGTAAAGCTAACAACTGGATCTACTAAGAGTCAGTTTCTTTTGATTGCCTTCTCCAACCACCAGCGCACAAGTAGTTTCTATCTAGTAGTTTTAGTTGAAAACTGGATAATACAGATAATATATTGCAGTTACTGTGCATCCTGTTTTGTTGTTTTGAAGATGATGGCTTTTTAAAAAATTCAAGTAGGCAATTTTTCTTGTTTGGATTTGAAGTTTGAAATCTCTTTCTCCTACAGTATGAAGGAGCTGTTATCTGTAATTAGTGTTTATTGTTTTCCATTTTACATTCATAGCTAGGTCCCTAGAGCATTCCTTTGTGCCTATATAATTTGAGGATCAGTCAAGATTTGGGTAGAAGTAAGGTTCACACTTTTTGTGGTTTCCTTATTCCCAGAGATTCCCCTGTAATATTCTGCATTCTTGAAGCTTTGGGCGCTGTCCTCTGATAGTTCAAACAATAAGTCTTCAGTATTCAGGTTCTTGTATTGTATACTTTTCTGGCATGTACTCAATTATAAATAGTAGCAAACAAATAACTAGTTCTATATCTTTCTTACAAGAGCAGATTTCTCTCCTGTTTCTGTCTGCTTCTTCATTGTGTTCTCTGGGTTCCTTTCTCTACTCCCACATGTAGTTTAGTTGACAGGCATGGATTTGGTAAGAATTTATATTCAGAATTTGGCTCTCATTTTTTATGTGTTTCTCTTGCTGCTAGTACTTCTTCTTTGAATTTCCAACTGATTTTCTAGTCCTCAACTTTAATTTTGGTTACCTTAAATTCACATAAAGCTGTTGTTTTCTGAAGCCATAGCTGTGGGAGTTGAGAGAACCATCAAGTCCGAATACCAAAAACTAATAATCCTTATCTCTTTTACATCTTTCTGGTTTTCAGTGCTTTCCAATATTTTAAAAAATGTACCCAAGTTTTAAAATGGTTATCTATGGAAGAGTTCTTGTAATACTTTCACAAGCCTACCATTATTAGAAATCTGTAATTAACTTTTTATAGATATGGAAAAAAGGCTTCAAAGTAACACAGCTAGAACGTTTCTGAGCTAGAATGTTCAATAAATAGATTCATCTAAATCAAAGTCTGGCCTTTCCCTGACATTTTCCTTAAATCTTTTACATTTAAAAAGAACCAGAGTCTATTATGTCAAAAAATATTTTCATAAATAACATAAAATGCAGTATTAAGAGCCTCTCTTCTACCTACACATAACCAATAATCAAAACTTGATCTTGGCTTGGCACCCATAGAACAGTAGTTATGGTGCCAGCCACATACACAGAGGGTGGTGGGTTCAAACCTGGCTGACCTACTAAACAAACAATGACAACTGCAACAAAAAATAGCCAGGCAACATGGCAGGAGCTGTAGTCTCAGCTACTTGGGAGGCAGAAGCAAGAGAATCACTTAAGCCCAAGAGTTGGAGGTTGGTATGAGCTGTTGTGACACCACAGCACTCTACAGAGGGCAACACAGTGAGACTCTGTCTCAAAAAAAAAATAAAAAGCAAAAAAACTTGATCTTGAATATGCTTTTAAATGATGATGTGCTTAGGGATGAGTATGGTATTTAATAAATTAGGCTAAAAAGAATGGAAATAATTATTTTTTAAACAAGTTGTTTCTACTATTATAATTTAGCTTCTTGCTTTCATATTTTATATTTAGGGGCAATAAAATGAATAATTCAACTTCTAATAACCCTCTTTAACACATAATCCAAAATAAATTGACAATAAAATATATAGAAAAGACAGAGGCATCCAATTGTCTTACAAATGGAAAATACCTTCTTTTGCATCTGTCCCTGAAGATCTTCAGTCACTTTAGTTAATTCTTCTACTTTTGCTACTGCAATTCTCATATCTGTCTTGGCTTGCCTACAGAAAGAAAGTAAATTAATGAATATTGTTTTCACAGACCATAAAGAATAAAAAGTTAGATCTTAAAGTTGGAAGTTAGTACTAACTCTGTGTGCCTACAAATGGTTCTGAGGGGTAAATTCT